TTTGTTTCAATGGTGATCGTGCTCAATGATTTATTTTTTCATGTTTTAGCAGTATGTTACAATAAAGTTAATCTTATTTAATCAATAAGGTCTTAAATTGTTATAGTTGGTACTTACAGTTTCCTCTTTAGATCAATTTGTACATGTTTAATTCAATTAGAAACGAGTTCTAAATGGAAAAATCTGATAGAAAAATTATTTATTTAAATCATTTACGATTTTATGTGCAAGAATTTATGAAAGTATTGAGTAAATAAATTAGCGGCGTAGCCACCAGGGCGACACGATGATGCAATGCCCCCTCTGTAAATGGCTCTCATTCAGTCAAACACTTATCTATGCCTCATGTCAAATTTTTCTTTTGCTAGCTTGCTCCTCTATGTAAAACTTTCTTGGCTACGCCACTAAAATAAATGTGAGAATATAATGTCAGATAGAAAGGCAGAAACCTATTTTTGTTTCATTTGATTTATGAATGAATAAATAAACTATAATCTTTAACGAAATGAAAATTTAATTTTCTCTGAAAAATTTAAATGTATTTTAGAACTATTCATGTTATACGTCATCGAAGTACGGAATGAGATCGATATGCTATTCATGAATGATTTATTAGATACGAAATTTTCAATTTATCTCGTCAATAAATTTATTGTTTTCAAACTAACCAAAATCAGACATATTAGATAGATAGTTTCATATTTGAAGAATCTTATTTAACAAAAGAGAGAAAGGTTCTTTGTGCATTTTTCCAAAATTTTTCTTTTGACTTAAGAACATGTGATAATTCAGTTACAAATTATGATGAATGTAGACAACTTTTTTATCAACATCTGAAAACATTAGTTTGATTAGGTTAGAATTTGACAAAGTTGTTTTTGCGCAAATCATTAATAAAAACTTGTGTTTAAATGGCATGTTTAATTATATATGAATTTTAATTCTCTCAAAATTTCTTTACTTTTTTAATAACTTTCTTCTTAATTATTCAGACAGGAATATCGTAAATAAATGGAACATCTGTTAACTCATATATATGAACCAACGACAACATGAACATTTATATATTGGGTGTCCTAGAATGTTTGCACACATCTCATTTTGCATATATCTCAGTATGGATAAATGATAAAAATATTCAGTTTTTTTTGTAAAAGATGCGCTGTGAAATTCTCTATAAGAAATGCAGAAACAAATCCTTACTAACATGTTCAATGGTTTTTCCTATAGCCCAAATGAAATACCGACATATTATGATACTTCACAACATATTAACGGGTAGAGTAGATTCAGTTGCCGCGCTTAGCATTTCAATTTTTCATCACTTAATACGCTGTATTAAAAAAAACCAAATATACCACAAGATGCAGAGTGAACCGTTCTACAATTTACATAAGATCACTTAATCTATAGTTACACTTTTTGTTTTCAAAATTGACAAAGTTTTGAGCGACCCAATTGCAACTCTACGAACAAGATCATTTGCCAGTACACGATAAATGTCTTCTCTTAATTCATCCTTTCATCACTTGATATGCTTTATTAGAAGAAAAACAAAATATACCAAAAGATGCAGCATGAAAAGTTCTACAATTTACAAAAATCTAGTTTATTTTGCATATGCATCTTTTGTTCTCACAATGGACACAATTCTATGCGAACAACTTTGAAAGATCTTCGGATTTCATTTCTTTTTCTCAACTAACAACACTTCTACATTTGTGATTTGTTGTTACGTAGATGGTATGTGCCTCTAATAAGTGATATCAGAATGAATAGGAAAAAATAATTGGAACGCGTATCGATGGGTTTGAACTCGGTCGTCGATGATGACTTTCGATATGACTTATTAACTAAAGAAATAAGGGTGTGAGTGGGTGTTGGTATTGTCAAAGAATATCACACCGACATCCACCAATTTTAATGGAACTTGTAAAGTTTTTCAAGCTGCATCTAATGGTATATTTTTTTATTAAAATAAACGTGCTAAATGATAGAAAAAAGGAAATACAAAAGTCTGCCATTCATTATGGAACAACCGTTACTACAGGATACCAATACAGAGTTGATTTTGGGTATCGTCGTCAAATAACATGTCAATTCTATTAGAGCGTTTGAAATAAGATATGGATATTGTTATTTTATCAGTCATACCTCACACCCAAACCTACACTTCAGAGTAGGGTAATAGCAAACAGTAAAGATTATCGTACACTTTTTCTCGTTCTTGGACCAATCATGCTGATGTGCTTTGCTGAATGGCAATTGCTTTCATTTCGATTTGTCACTTAATATTCAATGAAAGCTGTTGCTTTCTTTCACATTGGTGAATCCGAATATTTTTTGCTCCTTAATTCGCGTGCGTTCAATATTGATTCTGTTGAAAAACTCTCACTATTTCCCATCGTCTTTTGTATGATGGCGGTGCAATTTTGATGATTTGTGCAAGCATGGAAGCGAATAGCTTGGATCGATACGCTAATGCAATTCATTCTTGGACGTAGGTGCAGACTGATATACGTGCTAGTACTTTTGCTTCCACATCTACTCCCCAACATACATCCTAGAAGTTCTATTGCATGGTTATTAAAATCCAATTATGCAGTGGTGCTTCATTTGAATATTGTCTTTGCTGTTTTTTGAAAAAGGTGAAAAATACATTGTTATCAGTCCGCGAAAAGAGGCATCCCTAGATTGCTTATTTGATTTTTTCCGAGCGAATGAAAGCTATTCAAGTGTCTTGTGCGCCAATGCATCGGCTTTCTGCAAAAAATAAAATAACTAAGAGAAAAAAGACGCATTGGTAAACTTTGTTTGGTCTCAGCGGATGACTAATACAATTTAACGAATGTTTTTTCTTTTCAATGAATAACGAAAACACTTCAGGGATTCGTTTGCATTATTCGAAACCAAGTATACATCGAGCCAAGAGAACTTGTAAATGTTGCACTCGAAGTATTCAGCAAGTGCTGGACATGTCATGTGTAAATTTTCTAGTGGTCTGGCTCCAAGATACATTGTTTTTGAAGAATATTTAGTTTGCATATGTCATTTCTCATGTTGCTTGAGTCTTACTCCTGCAATGCTATTTGCTACAAAGTGCATGTATCAAAAACAAAGAGAAAGCCAAAGCATCTATACAAAACACACTGAGTTCAATGATTTCAATGACTTCACTCTTAATTTTTCTATTTTCTGTTTTGCCTCTCATTTTTATATATCGACTTTGCATTTCATCAAGGACTACAATGGCTATTGCAGAGTAAGTGTAGATGTGGACATGGAAAATAATGATAGCGATCAGACTCTACCACAATCACTCACACCAACATTCTTTCGAATTAGCGAGTCGTCGCGATATTCGATGGTATATTAGAATGACAACTAGAAGTTTTGCAGCTTTGAAAAGAGTCATCCATCAACATATATTGTATGGAGAAACCAAGAGCAGAGATATCGATCGAGCAAATCCAACAGGTAAAATTCTGTGATTAAACTAGCATACCATCCAGCTACCGTTTCTTCTTCAATAGTTTTAGCCTCAATTGGTTCGATTTTCTTTTAATTATTCAATATCAATACGAGCATTGAAAAGAAACCAGGTAAAAACAGTCAATATTATGCAAATACCTTGCACACTCACACTCTGTATGAATGCCACTATTTTTACTTCCAACATTGACAACATGTAAGCACACACAACTGTGTACCGCTTCCGTCTTTCTTTCGCTGACTGATGACTGTATAGAAATTTATATAATGCTGCTTTACTTTCAAACGAAAGAACTTTTTCGATATCGTTATTAGTAGACTATTCATTCTAAGTATAATCGTAGTGTCATCTATAGAAGAACGAAAAAAAGATCTGTTAAACAGAATTATTTACCGGTGGTAGTTCGCTTCTTTTCTTCGAGTTCTCGTTCTGCTATTTGTGATTGAAACAAGTAATATACATCGATAATGTTTGCTGTACGAACACTCGAGGATAATTTCAGGTTCGATTGAAGACTGATTTTTATTCTCTCTACTTCTCTCTTGAGCTGTATGCATGTTTGATATCTAGTATTATCAGTTCTTTAATCTGCTTTTCATGCAAAAGTCTACATGCAGCATATTGACAATTGCATGCTTTATCTGCAAGAACTGCTTGGCATCAAAAACGATCAATGGACATGACATAACACAATAGTTAAGCCATAGATGTGAATGTGGGTGAATAGAACATCTACATCGAAACCCTCGTCGGAAGTATGATTGCTGGTGTAGATAGTTCGTGATCTCATGCGCATCATTGAGCAATTCGTTTTCGTTATTAACTTTGAAGAGACACGAAAAAATCATCATAATCGTTTTTCTAGATAAATAATGGAATCAAATGATACTCCTTTGATCTTCCGAGCCCGTTTGTTGGAAACTAGATTCACACCAGAATCGTTCGTGCAATTCGTTGGTATGATTGCCGCGTGTTTACTAATCATTATTTGTCTACGTATTAAATTAATTTTTTTCATCTTCTATATAGCATCAAAATCTGTCGGTAGCGCTGATTTGGTGAATATGAAACAAGATATGTATCAGATTGCAAGAGTTGCAAAGACTGATTTGAAACTCACTATTTATCATAATCATAGAAGACTAATCGAATCTGCAGAAGAAGCCAATTCACTCAAATCAGAAGTCAATCAATTATGTTCTTTGTTGACCGATAAGAAACAATCGTTGAATGCTCTCAGAGAACTGTTAACTCCTGAGTATGAGGTAAGAAGAACGAATTTTCGAACACAAAAGGATAGAAGGTAGATTTGTACATCACAATGAGAAAGACAGTGATTGTAGAATGCTACTTTCTACAAAGTTCTGTTCGTGTAACGAAATAAGAGTTCGACTTATTGAGACGTTCGGAGTCGATACAAAAATTTCATCGAGAAAGACTTAGAATGATGGTAAACATTTAGGCAGATACTTCTACAGCGTCACACATTGATTCATGGAATATGTTAATGCGACATTGTGAGATTTTGGAACTTGTTACAATTAACCCCGGTCGACATCTCATTCATAGTGGCCCATTATTCAAAATGAAACGTGGACATGTTTCCATGAGACAGCATCAGGAAAATATCGATCCAAGCCATACATCACCATATGTTATCCATCCATGTTATGGCCTTCTCTTTAACGATTATTTCATAATTACCAAGTCCGCCAGTATTCATACAGCAAACCTTCACGATCTCGATCAAGTTTTCAAATTATATCAAACTCTGCCGAGAACCAGTAATGAGGATGATGATGGAGATAAAAGCGGCGACAATATTCAACAATCCTTCGTACCATTCTTACAAATCAGTGATTCAGAAGAATATGATTTGCACGACTCATTTTCTATCAAATACAATCTCGGAACAGTAACTTTTATGTGTAAAAATGCTCTAAGCAAAAACCAATGGCTTGAAATGTTTGCTAGTGTTCTCTATCCACAAGAACGGCGTAAGTCATCGCTCTATAGTAATACGGAACGATTATCGTACTCTTCATTGTTTTTCCTAGGCAATCGTCAATATGTTCAACAGCCATTCAAAGAAGAGTTCTACTCGGAAGAATGGATAACTGATAGTGAAGAGAATCTCATCAATTTATTGGCCGAACGAAATTTTAATGAGGCTCTAGCTTTGATTTTACGTGCACGAAAATACACTCAAGATTTTATTGCCAAACATTCTCAACAAACTATGACATTTGTTGTTGATTACATCAAAATTGTACGAAACAAAGAACAGACGTTGTGTCAGTTGATTGAAAAAGAAATTCAGAATGTTTGTGAACGAGTACGTTCGATCAAACTACTGAAAAATTATTTTCATCATGTTCAAATACTTGAACAACTCAGCTATGTGCCCAAAGCTTGGTAAGCGTTTTCTTGCGAATGAGCATCGGCGCAATAGCAGAAAATTCTCAAAAATATATTTGCTTGTTTTTCTAGTGATTTATTCATTATGATTCAAATATCTATCATGAAAATTACATTGAAGCAGATAATATTGGAAGAAATTAGTGTTTTTCTCATAGATAATTATGTGATTCAATTTTTAGAACGATTGAACGATAGTTACCATGAATTTAAGCAAATATTCGAAGATCAAAGCTCAACTTATTCGAAATTTGTCGTTTGAATATTATCAGAAATCGAACGATTTATAATGATATTAAACGATCAAAAATATTTTGTTACAGAAAATTTTCTCTTTGCCATGAAAAACATCGAGATTCTACTGAGTAAAGTTGATGAATTCTCATCAAAATCGATCGATATCAAATTTATTTTCGAAGCACAGATCGAACCAATTTTACTGCATATTATTGAGTCACAGAAAAATACAATTATTAATATACTGCGAAAACACTATAATGATGAGAAATGGACGCCAATTCTTTTAAAAACAAACGAACATTTAGAACACCTATATTTTGAACTTCGTGAATTGGGACTTAATAGTGCAGATGTTCTTCAGTCTTATGTTTCAACTGACCATTCAGAAGCTCTAATCAATATTTCCCTTGCACCAAGTACATTACATTTTGCAAAGACTTATTTAGAATTTTCACGTGAACTATTCAAAATTCACTGTCAATCGATCAATCACACGATAATCGAAGCACTGTTCGAATTAATTAAACTTCATTTGAAACACTATAAACGGACACTTTTGGAATTACAGTCAACCAATAATCAAGAATTGAAAGCATTCATCATGAAAAACATCGATTTTTCTGTTAGTCATATCATCCATCATGTTGATACCCTCTACAAGCCAAAAGTAGGCAATATTGCCAAGTTCTTCATCAACTTCTACAAAAAAATGGCCAAATTGAATGAAATGAATGGCACGTAAATGTATCATCTGTGGCCTATTCGCTCGTGTTCTTTATGTTTTGGTTTTCTATTGTTTAATAAATGAATTAGAACTAAAGTCTACGATTTTGAGGGCACTATTGTGAGTGTGATCAACATTAGCTGATATAAAACTGTCAAAAGACTTTTCTAATGTGTGTGTCAAAGATTTTCAGAATTCTGCAAAGCAACTATTTGCTGACTAGTAGGCATCTACACATAGCTATACATTTTTTCCTTAACAGTAGCTGAGGGTAGGATAGTGTAGTTGAAAAGAAGACTTATCTGTCATTTCAGCAACCAACCCATAGGGCATGTGTGTGGTTGGGTTTGGTATTCAACATCACACCCACACCTACCATACAGACTCCCCACATTTACATGAACATGATTTTCATCGTTGATATTTTGGGTGGGTGTCGGTGTGAGTACAGGTATGAGATGTGGCAGCGGGTATTGATTAAGAGAAGTTCTACACCCGCACCCCACACTATATATGTTTTTAAAAATTGTACAATAGTACTCAAGTAAAATCGGAATTATTCAATATCATAAAAGAGATCGATACAAATTCATTTCATAACAACTTTTCAGTGAAATCCTATCACGTCAGTATTTAGTGATGAAAAAGCAAAGATATTACCAAGTAAATTAAATATGAAGTTTTTTCAGAAAATTAACTCTTCGATTATTCTCTCCATCTCTTTTGTAGCACTTTAAAAAAAATATACAACGAACAATCTTTTAAATGCATTATATTTTTCTTTAATTTTCTTTAGAAAAACAATTAAATACCCAGAGACTGGATATGAGTTTGGGTATGGTTCCTCTCTTAACGCACACGTACATCCTCTAATCTGCAATCTGTTTGAAACGTTAACAACAAGCTCAAGGCAAATGGCTAATAAGGTCTTACTTTGACCTTTTTTCGTACTGTTTGAAAAAAAATCAATCAAATGTTTTGAATTATTTATCTAGTTGATGTATTAAATAAATGATACCGAGCATCTTATCCTTTTACCTTTCCCTAAATTACTAGTGATATAAAGAGTTGACTGTATGTGTTCGTGCATTATCTACTAATAGTTCAATTTTGTGATTTTCACACTCTTGTTAAATTTCATTAATTTTCACAAGCGTTCAAAATGCAATAAAATGACGTTACTATCAATGCACTAGCCTACACCCAAATGAACAGTAATTGTAGCGGCATAGACTTCATTACGGAAATTTGAATCATTTAGCAAGTCAAGAAATTTTTTCACCGCATTCATTTGTTCGTTTTTATACAACTAAAAAATTTCCCATGGATATTTCACGAGGAACTTCAACATCATCACACTTCTGTCATGATATTTACTAAAGAATGGTTATGAATTATGAATTATCTAATGTTTGGAGCGAGCATCTCCACTTCGGTAAGAAAGAATATCAACAAAAAATATTATAGAGATTGCTGTAATGTTACTGGACTTACTGAAAAAGGAACAAAAGACTTTAAGATTGAAGACTCCGCTGTTTCTCCTTCGATGACCGTGTATCCGTCTGAGAACACTTGGCTAGAGGAAAAACACGATATTTTCTTGTGTTCAGAAAAAAATGATCATTCTCTGTCGCAATGTGACAGAAAAATAAGCAGTGAAATATCTTTTCTACTCATCATATGAGGAGTAAAATAGCATAGAATTCTAGAGTAACAGGCGAGGCTAGCGAAAACTTATGCTGTCTTGTTGGCAGTGATCAGAGCAGTTCTAGTTGAGAGGTATCTTCTTATGCTCAACAGTTGTCTGACTATGTCACATGTGAACGCTACCAAACTTAAATCATTAGATGCAATTTTGCCGCTGCATTGAATCAACACATTTTCAAACTTCTTAAATAATGAAAAAAAAATGAGAATAGCTAATGTTGTTCGAAAGATTGAGTATTTCTTTCCATTAAAAAATGCAAAGCTTTTTAGTATTTTATAAGTCATTTTTCTTAATTTCATCTCAAAAAATAATTTTTTAGAAAGCATTTAATATATATGCAGTTTGATAGGGCACACCGAGCCATATCGAACAATGTAAGCATATCAAAGAAAAAAAAGCTAACCCTATTTTTGTATTACTCGCCTTTTGTTACTGCTAATCAGCTATTGAATTTGAAAATCTTATGCATTCATCCGTGATTCTGTTTTGCATTTTAATGAATTAATTATATGCATGGGCTGATAAATATTTTCTTTAAAACATCTAATTGCCATGTACGTGGCACTTTCTAATCGAAAAAAAAACAATTGATTGTGACTTAATCAAAACGAAGAAAATCATTGCAGACTATGACAAGATAAACCCAAAAGCACCAACGATTAATTAGTCGCTTCAAATGAGAGACGAAAGTGCAACTAGCAAACAGAACTGACTTCAAAAAAGATTTGTTGTTCATGAACTACAAAGGACTGCTTGCAAATGAAAACAACTAACGTTCATCCTACTCTAAATTGAAAAATAGGTACTTATTTTGATTATCTTCGACAGTCCACAAAGTAATGTTCAAAGTTGAAGGTTTCACAGTGACTTTTCATCAATAATCTCCGGATCATAGTTGAATAAAGTTTCACACTGAGTTATCAGCACTGAACGAATAGAATTGTCTTTTTAGTGACATTGGCACATATCTGTTGATGAAATATTGCGCGCGTATGTCCTAGGATCAATCAGACAAGTTTCAAAATCTATATTGAACTATTCTCGGTCAACTGATCTGATATATGTGACAATCAAAAGCGTTCAATGCATGCCACTACGTCTTTTAGTGGAATGTATAAATTCCTATCCGAAGTTTAGTAAAGTTTTCTAGATAGAAACATGACTAGAGTGCAACTCACAGCCTATGATTCTGTTAAAAATGCAATAATATAGTTGCGAGTAGAGAAATGTAATTGTTTTTTGAAAAGCATAAAAATATTTAAAAATAAAGCTTTTCTCACCGGAAATAAATATAGAAGCAATTCCGTGAGAGCACTTGCAACACAGTACGAAAGCAAGAGAATATTATTCAAGCAAAAGTCCTCGATTAAAATAATGCGAGAATATCACAAATTGGAGGCGTAGCTCTGCCACTACTATTGATAATGATGTTTATTAAACCATTTCATTACTTCAGTTGTATCTAGAGAAGTACAAACACACGCTTATTAACTAGCCACACAACCCAAGCAGACAGACATACCGACTTTTTATGTTTTTTCGAACAAAAACAGTAAATCTCAGTCGATTTTTATGCGTTCTTTTTGGTTTTCTCAAAAAAGCATAAAAAGTTGTGTTTTGGCAGATTTTTTTTATTTTTCCATTATTTTCTACTTTCTTGTGTGTTTTCCTTTAAAAGATTCTCTCTAGTGAGCCATTGACTTCAACGAGCGACATCGAATCCTTTTTGTTCTTCCTTATCCATTCCAATACGAAAACGATTCATTTCGATTTTACTGACGCTATTTATCGAATATATTGTTTGTGATTTACATTATAGTAAAGAGTAAGTAGGAAAAAAGGTTCTGAATTCCAATAGATGGAATCCATACTAGTTGTGATTTGAGAAGAAAAAATAAAGTGTGCTATAGATGTATACCATCTTCCCCTTACATCAACATACAGATGGAAACGATCATCGTAGAAAACATTGTAGCATAATTAAAAAATGATCCACTTTTGGGATTATTTGATCAAAATACAGAAAAGATATATTTAGATTTTCATTAAATTTAATAATTACTTCTTATGAAAATGATTATGCTTTGATCTGTTGAGTAACCCATTATGAGTTATAAACCAATCGATAAACATTTTATTATTGAGATCAAAATGATTAGCATGAGTGAGAACAACAAACATTATCAACGTATCTGCGTAACATTTCTGACAGTATTTTTGGTATCATTATTCTAATTATTAATGGGGGCGACAGGACTTTCCATCTGAGAAGCAGGACGATGAGATCCTGCATTCTTCCATGTGGCGTCACCACTAGTAGCCAAAGAAA